ATTGGTACCTCGTGGGGGCTACCTCCATTTTTGCTGTGTGATGGGGGTACATTTTTGGGGGGGGGTGACTGAAATGGTGCATTTGTCCCGTTTATAATGACGCGTAATCATGATTCTGGTAGAAAGGTATTTATAAAGGAGGTCAAGGCTCCTCCCCTAATTCTGCCAGACTTCCCCGGGTGCGGTACATCAGCTCTCTACACTCTATGCAGGCGACATACGGTGCAGTCAGCCCATAGAAGCCCGATTTCTAATATCAACATCTGTATCCGATTCCGGTGTTCAGAGGTTGTGAAATGAAACGTTTCCCTTTTGTCTGGATGTGGCAGCACGGAGAGGAGGTTTCCCCGGCCGCCAGTGACCTGGCCATGGTACTGACCCGCGGGCTGAGCCTGGAGCACCAGAAAAGCAGTCGTGATTCTCTGCAATACTCAAGTGGCTACAGCACCCAAACCACGACCCCGTCCTGCTCCGAGGACACCATTCCATCACAAGGTAAGAACCGTCCAATCACAGCCCACCGATCCACCGGCCAAGACACCGCGGCTCCCACACACGTGTACCGTGCTGATAAAAGGATTCACGCCGCAGGAAGTTTTATTGTCATAGGACAGCACAGGAAATGTATTTTCCCAAGTTAGTGTAGTGGGGGGCGGGGGGATAATTCCACATGTATGTAGAAGGCCCAACATCTGGTAGGAATCATGGCATGAAAACAAGAGAACACGACAAGCAGCTCTGAAAATGTATTAAGAAGCTTCAAGGAAGTCCGAGAATGGAAGCAAAGACATTTCTAACTCCCCACCATACGTGACTGAACCTACCAGAGGGAGACTAATGAGGGAGGCCACCAGGAGAGAGAATAGTGAGGGAGGCCACCAAGAGAGAGAATAGGGAGGGAGGCCACCAAGAGAGAGAATAGTGAGGGAGGCCACCAGGAGAGAGAATAGTGAGGGAGAGATCAGAGAGATGGGGCACCAATAGCGTGTGAGGCACCAAGAGTGAGAACAGTGAGGGAGGACACCAGGAGAGAGATTAGTGAGGGAAGGCATCAAGAGTGAGATTAGTGAGGGAGGCCACCAAGAAAGAGAATAGAGAGAGAGAGATCAGAGAGATAGGGCACCAATAAGGGTGTGAGGTCACCAAGAGAGAGATTAGTGAGGGAGGCCACCAAAAAAAGAGAATAGAGAGGGAGGACACCAATAGGGTGGGAGGCCACCAAGAGAGAGAATAGAGAGAGATCAGAGAGATAGGGCACCAAAAGGGTGTGAGGTCACCAAGAGAGAGATTAGTGAGGGAGGCCACTGAGAGAGCATAGTGAGGTAGGCCTCCAAGATAGAGAATAGTGAGGGAAGCCGCAAAGGGGGAGACTAGCGAGGAAGCTATTAAACAAGGAGACCCATGAAAGAGACCAACAAGATGGAGACTAGAGAGAGAGAAACCAGTAAAAGAGCCATGAAGAATTAGACCAGCGGGGGCTCCAAGTGGAAGACCAGTAAGGGAGGCAGCCAGGGCCGTGCTGTACGAAGTGTTGTGTGGAGGAACTCAAGTGCCCTGCACACCTCCGGGATGAATTGGGATGCCAATGGTGAGCCGGGTCTCCTCAGTACCTGACCTCACAAATTGGACCGATTCTCACAGACACCCTCCAAATTCTTGTGGAAGACTTCCTAGGAGAGTGGAGGATGTTAGAGCCACAAGGGGGAGAACTCCGTATTGGGGCCCATGGTTTTGGAATGGGATGCGGGGCGGTGGTCAGACGTTTGGTCATATAGAGTATTTGTAAGAAGAATTCAGCATTCGTATTGGATGTTATTATAATGTAAGTTTTCCTCATGTTGGGATCTGACGAGGTCGGTCTTTGGCTACAATGATATTCTGTAATGTATATTCAGGAGAACTCATGTTGTTTCCACAGGCTCTGACTACGACTGTTACTCGGTGAACGGTGATACAGATGGCGATGTCTCTGCTGACTTTGACCGATCCTCCACAGTTCCACGGAGCAGTAGTTTGGCTCAGAATTACCGCCGTATGCTCCAAACTAAGCGCCCAGCTTCTACAGCAGGCCTACCCTGTGGCATGCCTCCTGCTGGCTCTGCTCCACCACCACCACAAGCTGGCTCTACTCCCGGTGTGGCAACAATACGGCGCACTCCATCCACCAAGCCCACTGTAAGACGCACTTTATCCAATGCTGGACCCATTCCATGTCGCCCTCCGATTGTGCCAGTAAAAACCCCCACTGTGCCGGACTCTCCAGGAGGAGGGCTGGGAGGACGTTCCCGTGTGGGGAGTGAAGAGTGTGTTTTCTATCTAGGAGGGGAAGATGGAAGCCCCCTTGACTATGCCAAGTCATCCCCAAAACGTCTCAGTCTCCCAAATGCAGCCTGGGGAGGAGCGGGGGAGATGTCTGTGTATGGCGGCGGAGGAGGGGATGAAGAAGACATGGGAGGAGGCCTTCTGGCAGCCAATCGACACAGTCTGGTGGAGAAGATCGGGGAGCTCGTGGCAGGGGCTCATGCCCTCGGGGATGGCCAGTTCCCCTTCCCCTCAGCCCCTGAGAGGAGTCAGGTTCCTGCCCCTGCAGGTGGTGGGGGAGGGTCAGAACCCCCGGCGGGCGATATGCTGGCATCAATACGTAGAGGGGTGAGGTTACGCCGAACCCAGACAAACGACCGTTCTGCTCCCCGCATCTTGTGATTAGTGTTGGGAGGTCGCTAGGATCAAGGATTGGTGCTCCAAACGGGGAGGGGAGTGGCACATACTGTGATGCAGGAAAATTGCGCACCTAGAAACCAAGGGGTAAACATGCAGCTGTATCCACAACCACAAGGGTTACATTTGGTTCCAGGACCAAAATGTCCGAACCATTCCATGCTCGAGGCATGCAGACCAAAACCGAGCCATGCATTTTCTATTTGTGAGCACAGCATTGCTGGAGTCATTGAGTAGACGGTGTGTATGGTCCCACACCGAATATTACTGCTTGACATACAATTCTACAAAACATCATCTGATTGGACTGAGGAACACCCCTGAGGTTCACAAGTCAGGAAAGCGCCACCTACATAGCCGGATTACCATGACCAACACACAAACCGAGACAGAGAGACCACCACGTCCGTGTAGGATCCAAACACGGCTTCCATAATGTCCAACCAAACCTGAGACAGAGAGACCACCACGTCCGTGTAGAATCCAAACACGGCTTCCATAATGTCCAACCAAACCCGAGACAGAGAGACCACCACGTCCGTGTTGGATCCAAACACGGCTTCCATAATGTCAAACCAAACCCGAGACAGAGAGACCACCACGTCCGTGTAGGATCCAAACACGGCTTCCATAATGTCAAACCAAACCCGAGACAGAGAGACCACCACGTCCGTGTAGGATCCAAACACGGCTTCCATAATGTCAAACCAAACCCGAGACAGAGAGACCACCACGTCCGTGTAGGATCCAAACACGGCTTCCATAATGTCAATTAGATTGCTGCGACGAATGCAGAAAACCCCCCAAAAATCCCAAATTACTACCAGCGGATATCATCGACTTCTCCAAATAGGAGGACTTACCACAAAGTGTAAATGTATAGAGAGTGGTCCTCCTATTCTATCCAACAGGAGATTTAGGATGCTAAACACGAGTTCAGTCATTTGTAACGTTCCTGGAGATGAGTTCCTCGTCTGCTGAATCTGGCGACTCGATAGTTACTCATTGTCCCCGGCCGCAGCCATGAATTATTCCGGAGAGCCCCAAAAATATGATCCTGAGAAGTGACATTCCAGGGGCCGCACAGCTTTCTGTGACTACAATTCTCTCTGTGTCCCGGCTTGTGAGATGCTGGTCCAGGCAGCTGGTGACTAGTACACACTGATCACAATGGTGGCCTGGGCACTACTACTACTACTACTCCTGCCATCCGCAGAGCCTTGGACCTTTTATTCCATGCCTATATCATGTGAAGCCAATGCTCAATTTGTGCCAAACAGAAGATGTTTCAGACACTAAGCAGCTGCCGGCTCAATGTGGCTGATCCATACACGGATTGTGACAAGGACCAGCCCATTGCGGCAGAATACAATAGGAAAACCGTTTGGGTGAGACTGCGCTACAAGCACACTGAGGCAAGGAAAGCAGCACTGGGGATTGCTGGACAGGGACGTTCTGCTGGGCTGATGGGAACTTGCCTCTGGTCCTTCGATCATTGGAGCTTCACAAGAAAGCCTCAAGGATTTGAATTGTTCTGACACATGCCTTTAATGATCACAGAGGCCTCTATGACAATGTCCTACAGACCAAGCCTTGCGTTATCTCAGTCCCACCTCTCCTCCTCCCCCTCCCCCCTGCTCCATGCCAGGCAATATGCAGCATGCACTTCGACCACTGAACTCACTGCCACCAGCCAGCCACTGATCAGTGCATGCTACACAATCTGCTGACATCTCATCCTGTAATACTGCAATAAGGCACCTCAGTCACACTGATAGCCTCTAGGAAATAGCACTTAGGAACAAAAATATATTTTAGAACCGTTAATTTATAAGCTAAAAGTGACTCACTGTAGATATTCTAAGCTTACAGGTCGCTCTAAGACTAAATCTAATTGTGTAAGGTGCAGTCCTTCACAAGGGACCCCCAACCTTCCCCTGGGCACTGCCTTGACTCCCCCAACCAACCCCTGGGGACTGCCATGGCACCCAACCAACTCCTGGGCACTGCCATGATAACCAACCAACCCCTGGGAACTGTCATGACACCCAAGCAACCCCTGGGAACTACCGTGACACCCAACCAACCCCTGGGAACTACCATGACACCCAACCAACCCCTGGGAACTACCATGAAACCCAACCAACCCCAGGGAACTACCATGAAACCCAACCAACCCTGGGGAACTGTCATGACACCCAACCAACCCCTGGGAACTACCATGAAACCCAACCAACCCCTGGGCACTGCCATGACACCCAACCAACCCCTGGGAACTACCATGACACCCAACCAACCCCTGGGAACTGCCATGCCCCCCAACCAACCCCTGGGAACTACCATGTCACCCAACCAACCCCTGGGAACTGCCATGACACCCAACCAACCGATGGCCACTGGTGGCAGTAAAAGGTCAACATTTTGGGTGGCAGCTTGGTGGTTGATTCCCTTCGGGTGGCAGCGTGGTGGTTGATTCAGTTTGGGTGGCAGATTGGTAGTTAATTCCCAAATAGTTAGTTGGGGAGGAGTGGGAGGTTCCCCTTTATTGCTCAGACATGTTTCTGAGGGTTTCATTCCAGATTCTTCATGAGAACTTATAAAATAGGAACAAAGGACATCTCTTGGGGTTATTGAGCCACATAGAGATGTTTTTGGATGGGTCATTCAAGGAAAATGTTGCAAAATAGGATCCCTAGAGAAGGGGGGTAATTTCAGTGACTACGATATAGAAATTAACTATAGAGTGATTTCCACACACACACAC